AGAAGTCATATATTAGCTCAAATTACAAAAAAGTTTTTCATATGAACACGATTTTTGGTCACCATTTCATATAATTTCATGCTCAACTACCATTCAGACTTACAACGTTTTAGGAGAGGATATAATTTTCTTTAACAAAACTTAGCTAAAAATGGGCAGTAAAAAGGCTGAGGGAAAGCAAAAGAATTATTTTACTAGCAGGGAAATCAAAGCAATGTTGAAAAATCTTAAGCAAGTGTAATTTATGAATTACAGCAGGATAACACTATTAAGCACACAGACAATTAAAGAAAGCTATTCTTCTGCAACACTGCCAGGTAAGCACTGATGCAACACTCAGCTGTAAGATCTTCACTGCTAGATTCAGTTCTCCTTGAAAGTATGCATTCCATTAACCAAAATTGATAATTTTTTTTCTTATAGTAGCCTGGCTACACCTGAACAGCTTTTTGTATGTCTTTCTGAAAGGGACAAAAAGAAGGGAAATGAGGAGGCAGAAGCAGACCAAGAAACGGTTTGGCACCAAAAATGTGCATTTCTGCCTCATTTGTTTCCCCAGAAATACCAGAATTACTGAAACCTCCTTTTCTGGCACTGATTGACAGAAGATAGCCCCATTTCCTTTGAGATGTGAATAAAAAAAAACACAACACAATTTACATGTTATTAATCTCACTACCTGAAAGCTTCCCTTTTAGTGCTGTCAGATGCCTTAGAGGATGAATATTCTGAAGTTCCTGAGGCATGCCCACCACAAACCATTCCTCCTTAAACTACTCAATGTTCATTCCCCCCTATTGTTAAATCAATAGTTTAACCACATGAAGACGGAATGCTATCACAGAAATAGTGAAAAAATATCTTTACTTTTTTAAAAAGTCTCTTTCCTCTTCCCTCATTAGGATCTGTCTTCCTTTGTAGATCACAGAGTCTGGCAAACTTGCATATTCAAATTGGCCTCTAAACTATATGCCTGAAAATGACTTCCAAAATAATTCTTTTATTAAACAAACTGGCTTAAATAAGCCTACCCAATACTTCTCAACACCTACACACAAGCTTCACGGTTTGAATCCTAGATCAGTTACTGCACCTGTGGCAGAAGACCACCAACAGGCTGTAAGACCTATGACAAACCATGCCAGTGCCCCTCAGTTCCTGCCACCTATTACAAAACTCAATTTGTAATGTTTAGCAGTGAAATTATGATTTGGTAATGGAATAACTAGTTTTTTCTTAAGCTAAGAAAACTTATTTAATACCCTCCCTGCTAAATAGTAAACAACGATTGAAGATGGTCTTCTGGGGCTTTTTTGTTTTATTGCAAAAAATGGTTTGGTGGTTCTCAGCTTCTGTAATTTAGAAACACCATTAGATCAGCTTCAGCTGGAGAAAATGCACCAGCAGCACTGCTACTGAAGCAAAGTGAGTCAAAACAACCAAACAGAGTCTAGCTAAGAAGATGAGTGCACTACATAACATGGTGTGGGTGACTCCTGTAGAATTCTGTGTCTTCTGACCTACAACTATAAAGCTGAAGAGCTGGACACAAACCAGAACGCTGACCATCCCAAGAAAACAGAATTTATCTATCCAAAACAAAGATTGTTTAACAGCATCTATCTGTGCTATTTACCTTTTCCTAGAAAATACTACTCATAGGAAAAACTTGCTAAGTCAACTCGGACAGAAATAGCATATCAACATTACTTCCAGCATTATGTAATGGACTCATCATCTTATGCTCTGCCTGACAGATTATTTTAGAACTGGCTATATCAAAGTATCCAGAACTACATTCTTTGACTCACTAGATGTTTATGTTTTATCTTAAGCTACCTACTATGAACACAGCAATACATTCACCTCTTTCTTCACTGTAACTGTCAGGTCTCTGGTCCTAAAGAACACAAAAAAACCAGTACTCCAAATGAAGAAGAATTGCACTATTCTAATAAAGGCTGAAACAAGGTCTTCTCTACCTCTTCATTAAGAGTGAACTCTTTCAGTGAAAATATCCACAGGGTAACTAACAACAGTAAGAAGAATGGCAACTTTTTTAAATGTTTATCAGCTATTTAATTTTAGCTTTGTTTTCAGACTACAAGGTGTCATCAGAACCAGCATACTGATACAGCTACAGTGAAAACTCTACTGATGCTTTTACTGCTTACGTGAGCAAACGAGCACCTTTACTGGTAAGAGATAATATTCAGCATACCTTTTTTCCCAGCATCTGCATTTCTACATTGCTATTGATCATCCACAAATACTGATCAAGAGGTCACAAAGTAATAATCAACATGATTATACCATCAAAAGATGCTTGGACAGCTTTAGTTACAACAGAATGGAGGAAAAAATAACCAAAGTTAATCATACGTGAAAGGTTCATTACAGGTCATTGACACATACACAGGCATCATGGTTAAGTAACATTTTCTTTCCTTTTATGCATGTTAGAAGAATATCTCATCAGGCAAGTCTTTGAGAACAAATTTTCACAGAAGACCCAAGTAATGGCAGTAAGGGCACAACTATTGTGTGGAAGATCATCACTGTCCATCTAAATACTCACAGCAATTAGCAATATTGCAACCACGGTGTAATTTCGAATCATAGCCTTTTTCTTTTTAAGTCTCGACTTCATCAATACCTTTATTCTCAAAATATGAACCTTCTTTTCTTACAGTCTTTAAGTAAACCCCAAGCCTGTGTGAAGGCATTCAGTGAGCACATTGGTTTAGCCTGCAACTGAAACCAAACCTTTATACATTTCAAAATGTTTCTCCAAATGCACATCTAACAGACGTTGAAGCGTACATGTAAAGACAGCCTGACCACGGCACATCAGTTTCCACTAAAACTTTATTTTTTAAAAGAAAAGACTGCAACCCCCAGCTTAAAAACAAAAGGAAACCCATTTTTGGCTCCCAGGCCTTGTGAGATCTAATGTGAAATGTGATAAAACAGCTAGCCTTGTTCTAAAAGGGTTAAGAACGAAAAAGTTTAAACCACTTATATTTCTCCAGCTGTAAAACCAAAATACTGCCAGAGTCTTCCTGCAGCCAGGGCACTGGATAATTTAGGCTAAAATAAATGTTTATTAAAAAAGGGCGTTGATTTCTTGGCAGCGGCGAAAAGCAGGAGACACCCCTAGTGTCGACGTAAAATACTACAGGACTCCATACTGTATCTCTGGGCTGCTTTTACGGCAGCAAAAGGGAAATTTAAACCGTCATGATTTAAAAAACAGAGCGACTCAAACACACGCACCTGGACATACCGCATACCTTCCTCCTGCAGTCTCAAACCCCACATGCCTATCATATTTGAAGTGTCAGCTTTCTAAACCCCGGCCAATTAAAGTATACATTATCTAGCCTGCCTCCCTGCCATGGGCTACGTGCATTATAGCTTTCCGGTCTGCACATGAACCGAAAAAAACGCTGCTGCACCAAGGGCGGGGGGGGAGAGAAAGGGGTGAGGGGGGGAACCCCATTTGAGATTGCAAAACAACACCCCCACACACACACACCAAGACATCGCTACCAAAATCCCGGGCT